GTGGGGACAGGTCTGTCTCTGTATAACACTGGGGTACAGTACTGGTGGGGACAGGTCTGTCACTGTGTAACACTGGGGCACAGTACTGGTGGGGACAGGTCTGTCACTGTGTAACACTGGGGTACAGTACCGGTGGGGACAGGTCTGTCACTGTGTAACACTGGGGTACAGTACCGGTGGGGACAGGTCTGTCTCTGTATAACACTGGGGTACAGTACCGGTGGGGACTGGTCTGTCTCTGTATAACACTGGGGGACAGTACCGGTGGGGACAGGTCTGTCACTGTGTAACACTGGGGGACAGTACCGGTGGGGACAGGTCTGTCACTGTGTCACACTGGCGTACAGTACCGGTGGGGACAGGTCTGTCACTGTATAACACTGGGGTACAGTACTGGTGGGGACAGGTCTGTCTCTGTATAACACTGGGGGACAGTACTGGTGGGGACAGGGTCTGTCACTGTATAACACTAGGGGACAGTACTGGTGGGGACAGGTCTGTCACTGTGTAACACTGGAATGAGGATGAGTCTGACAGTGTCATTGATGAGATGATGATGGTTCTGAGAGGTCCTTTCTGACGTTACGCTGTGCTGAAAATGGGGCAGCTTGTTATCTGTCATTTCTCTGACAGATTGAATCCCCCTAATCTCAGGGCTGCTGTATCTAGGCAGTGTGCTGCACTACATGTCTTCATCTCTAAACGCTGCTATTTACATTGATGTCCCTGCCTCAGCAAAAGGCAGTATCCAGCTCGTGTTTCCGCAGTTTCCCCATGAAGACATTGATGATGAGGGACCATTCACAATGCCCACAGAATGGTTGCTTTCCAGACTCTGCTACTCTGTGTCACTTTTGAAACAAATTGCTTTGAGAAAAGAAGGAGTACTAACCCCTCTTGCTCTCTTACACTTCTCAGCTCCTGTATTGGACAGATCAACTGCCAGACTGAACTCTGCAATCTTGCACTCCTGTGGAAATCGACCAACCAGAATATTTCTTGCTGCCAAGTCCTGGTGAACAATCTGTCAACATCAAGCGACATCAAGTTAGATCCAGGGTCAGAGCCTGTCCCACTGAGCTGTACAGAATCAAACTGACCCACACTGAACCAAACTCAACAGCGCCATGGTGTACCAACCCGAACCGAACTGTACCGATCTGAACTGAGCGATCCCAACCAGAACCGAGCCGAGACATACCAAAACAAAGTCAAGCCATATCGAGCATACCGAGCCGAGCCATACCAAACTGAAACAAGCAACACTAACCCGACCTAAGCCAAAACGAGCCGAGCCTCATCAAGCAGAACAGAGGTTCACTGAGCCACACTGACACGAAACAAGCCTCACCGAGCAGAGCAGCACCA